TTCAGTAATGCCCTGCACCAACTACTCAGGTAATTTCACTCAACAGATGTTAAAAAGGACAAAAGAAAATAAAGTCTTTGGCCCACAGTTGAGCCTCTGAGCAGTGACAAAGGGGCTTTTCCCTGTTTCCTTGTCACTCCCTAATCCCATTCTGCAATTACAACAATGGAAACAATCAGTCCACAATAAAAGAGGTTTTAATTTCCAATGAAAGAGACAGCTGAGACAGTAAGGCTAATTGCTACCAGTCTAAAGAGAAAAAAGGTTCTTAAAGCCAGAAAATCAAATTTTGCTCTCAGACACAAATTCATTAATTGCATCAGATTTAGTCCTTGAATTTGCTGCTGAAACTCCAACAATGCCAATGAAAACTTTTGCTAAGGCTGTATTTTCACCCTATCAAGTGCAACCTGCCCATCTGAGAGTTACACCTGGCTCAAAAGAAAGGCCAGGGGTTGTCAATGCAATTTAATCCCTATGAATAACTTAAAAGTGTATAGCTAATACTCGCAGGACTGCTCCAAAGCCCATCAAAACCAACTGGAGTTTTTCCTCTGCCACGTCGCTGTGCTTGGGATCAGTCTCATTCTATGGACCACAGTCATCGTTAGGCCAGACACTGTTCACTGCGTAACATTTTTACACTGATACACACGACTATCTTTTCTACTGACTTGCCTTTTTTTGGTAAGTCCAATTACGTGTAATCTGAGCTCTGTTCTAAACTGGGTTTACAGTCATGTGCAAACCAGTGCTCGTGTGCTTTAATAAAAGGTGCATATACTATTGCAATAAAACACAACGAAGTAACCAAGGTATCAGTAAGGGACTGGCTTCATTTTAAGTGAATGGTTATCTTATCACCACTGACCACATCATAAAATATTTTCAAGCTGAGAAAAATTCCTCTACACTTAAATTGTTTCTTATTTGAAGTGCTTTAGCAGCTGTGTCCACACTTTGTTAAAGTGCCACCTCAGCAGCGGCTGGGATCACAGTTTGCTTCCAGATCTGCATGACCTCTATCCACACGGGGAGCTTCCCGCCAGCTGTATGACAGGACTGTGTTAACTTCCTAACAGAAGGAGTACCCATAGGCTAAGCTCAGAGTGCTCCGGTGCATGGGGTTCTCGGTTGCTAGACTCATTTCGAGAGTCCTTTGCCCTCAAAATTAAGTCACGCCCAGCAGACCTACATCCATCCACCTTTAATTAAGTAATGCGATGGATGCTGATGTGAAATTGAGGGCACGACTGTATGATTAAGTGTCTTTGAAAGGCATTGAGCAAGTTCATCTACTGACTTCCACACAAGCTGAAGGCACACAATTCCCTCATTGTTTTTCACTGGGCTTGTTAGCTAACCCCATGTTGCAGAATGGCACACTCAAGAAATGAAAAAATAGGACTTTTGCTACTGCTGTGATTACACTAGAGGAGGTGCAGAAGTGATTTGATGTATTTGGGTCTTTTAAAATATTGCTGTACAACACAGAAGCTAAGGTAATGCTTCTGAAAGCCTGTATCATATATTCACACCTTACTAGCTTAGGGTTTTGATACTAACACTACAGTCCTATAGGTCTAGTGTTGCTGTGTTCTCTGTGTAGCATCATTCAAGCAGCTGTCAGGGAGGCAAATCCACTGAAAAAAGTGGCATTAGAAAGCCATGACATTACTACTAGCACCGTGTCGAGATGTTAGTCTAATGACCACATGCCTTACAGTGGCTTAGTGCTTGGTGTTCCATGATACTGCTTTCTTTTCAGCATGGTAGGAGTTTGTAGCAAGAAAACATGAATTATTGGAGGTGCTTTTTCTCATTTTCATGTAATGTTAATACAGTTTTGGAAGAAATCTATTCCCCAAATTGTCATCCTTTGTCTTCAGTTGTACTCACACTTTGTAAAACCTGTTGGTGAGGCCAGGCTCTAACCACTCTCCTGTCCTGTCCTGGAGTAGTACACCCTAGTTAGGCCAAATATGAATGATAAACACAACTGACAGCTCTAACTTAAGGCTCTACATTGTTTCTATTTCAATCAATAGGATTTTAACTCCAAAATTATGTGAAGACAATCTAGGATTCCTAAAGTCTGTTTTTAAAAGCCCTTTCTTCTCAATTTAAGTTGCTCTGTACTCTCACCTCCAAGTTGTTTTGCAAAGAGCAGCCAGTGTCTCTGGAGATCAGACACTACAGATCACTATGCCACGCACCTCTATAAAGCAGTAATTGCCTCAGTATTCACCAAGAGATGAGGATGTTTAGCACCTCTGAAAAAAGACCTTTTAAATGTATGACTACATAAAGGCTTAAAGATAATTTAGTGCTTCTGACAGTCCCACTAACCCCTTAATACCTACCTAAATCTAACCTTTACGTTTCCATTTTAAGCACTGAGGTTTGAAAGTTTTGGACTATGAAAGTGGTTTAGTTTGCAACAGTGATAAACTTGATGAGATCTAATTTAACTCATACTTACAAAATTGCCTGAATTCATGGAAGGTGCCCAAGAATATAAAGTATTATCACGAGAAATCACATTTTGAATCATCATCAGGGTGTTATAATCTCAGCTGTACCAGCCTCTATTGGCTCATTAGAAAAGGAGTGAGGATTTGCATTTTAAAAAGGAGGTTTTAAGAAAGGGTCCACCCACCTCCACTGGGTTTCAGATAAGTAAAAAACCATTTCCACTATGAAGTCACACTGTGCCTCTTAAAAAGATGCAGATATTAAGAAAAAAAATGACATTTAGCAAACACACTTCAGCATTAGCATTCTTGTAGATATGTTTATGGTTATTGCTCTGGATTTGGTTGAAATTTAACAGGCTTTTAATGGCATCATTTTGGAAATGGTTCTGCTTGAAGGAACGGCTATGCGTGCATGTTTCTCCGTATAGCTCTCAGCTCATATACAAAAATTAACAAACAGCATATTAACGGTATCACCAGGATAGTGATTATTCCCTGTCTGGAGTGATGTTGTACCATCCTCACGCTCAGTTCTTCCATACAAAGCTTGAACACACAAGTGACATTTTTATGTTCCCCCTGCTTGAATTCATGCACTGACAGACCTATACCAACAGGAGGATTGAAGTTTTGCCTCAAGCTCCTGCATATGCAAATCTAGAAGAAACTGTCCTGCTTACCTCACCACCTGCAAGAGCAGTGGATTCCAGGTGGCCATGATCCAGGCTGCACACGGTTTCACAGACCAAACCCCAGCATAAGAACTGCACTGCAGACACTACAAACCTTTAGTGTGTCACACAGAGCAGGTCTCAGGCTGCTGCACTCCAGATCAGCTCAACTGTCAGAGCTGCCCTCAAACACCAGCTCACCAATGCCTCACATTTCCACAACTCACTCGGGCACGGATAACTTTGGAGGCCTGGCAAAGGGCACGAACGGTTCCAGTTTTCTGGCGTAGGCCAACACAGCCAGGTTTTGTGATTAGCCTCATTTTTCAAAACAGTACAGCCACTTGGAATCACTCTGTAGTGAAAGAAAAGCATTACTGATCTCAAAGAAAGGGTTATGTCCTTCTGTTGTACACAGAGAAGGACTGGAACATCTGAAAAGGCCAGCACCAAGTCAGTAATAAAACGCAAAGTTCAATATTATGTGGCGTTAGGTTTCATTTAAGCTTTTTCAGGCCTTTTCTGGGGCAGGTAGGAACATTCCTTCCACATACAAAAAATTAGTCTACTGCTAGGACTTAGTTTTGAATCTAATATCCATATAGTTAATTATAATTTAATATATGTGTTACAGTAGCACCTTGATTATTGAACAACTTTAAACACAAGACGTAGTCCCTACTTCATATTATCTGTAAGGAAATGGTGAACATGGTTTAGATCCTAAATAGAAAAAAGAGAAAAACAGTTATCCGCTCATGAATGACCAATTATTTAGTGCACTCATTCTAGTCTGAAACCCTTTGTCTTTTTAAAGCGTACCACGTAGTTGCCCAATTCAGAGCAATTACCCCCCACTTCCTACCCTCTTAGCATCACGTTCCAAAATAAACAGTGCTGTATTAATCGGAACTGGATAGATCTTTTTTCTTTAGGTGTGATAAAACCCTCTAAAAGATGCAACTGAGCATCAACAAAATTAGGGAATACATTACATTAAATAGAGGTGAGTCCAGAGTCATTTGCTTCTTCAGTTCAACTTTGGGGGGCGGGGGGGGTTTTTGGCAGCTTTAAGCAATACCGTCTACACTCTGTGTCCTCCTCAGATCTGCCAAGATTCACAGTAAGAAAAGCAACAGTGGTGGGAAGAATAACTAGGCAATAGTCATACTTCAGATTGTTCTCTGTAAGAATTCATGGGGTTTGTACGACTGTCCCATGCCGACGTGTCTGTACGTGACATATACATGTATACGTATGAGTGAGCGATGTCAGTTTTCATCCGCTGGAAGCTTATACCTGTAGCAGTCAGTGCTTTGTTCAACAAGGCTGGGGGACTGCTAATGTAAGATTAAGTTCTTCTTTCTTCATTCAGCAATTAACCAGATTGCTGCTCTGTCTGTGTTTGATTTAATTTTACAATCCTCAGAGGGTTTAAAGAGCTGCTGTCTGAAGCACCTGCTTCTGAAATATTCATGTGTATTTTTTGCTTTCCTTTTTTTATACTTTTCCGTTCTCTTTTAGTACCATGGTTCTCCATGCTCCTGATTTTCTTATGTTTTCCTTCAGAGGCAAAAGTTACAGTGATCCTGACGCAGTTTGGGCACAGCCACAAATAGTCTGTTTGTCCTTCCTCTCTATGTCTCATAGTTAGAAAAGCATCATTGTGCACACAGTTCTGTTGATTTCAGTGGATGAATCCAGTTCATCCATCACGTTAGGCAGTCAAAAAACCCAACAAAAAACTCAAACAAAAAAATTGTCTAAATCCCAAACAGGCATCTTTGGAATCAGTAGTGCAAAATGTTTGCGGATTTCTTTTCCTTGACCTACTGCAATAATCTCCTAATCTTCAAGTCTTTCCTAAAATAGTGGATCTGTAAATTTAAAACAAAAACAATAGGAAAAAAAGCAAATATAAAGGTGTTTGTTTTTTTTTTTTTAAATCACTCTCTTCAGATCCTCACTCACACCAAACCATTATACATCTATTATAAGAGATGTAAACCATAGGAAGATCCAGTTAACCCAGGGCATTTTTCATCTACACCAGGCCTCTTTTGCATGGGCACAGCACTGTCTAAGTGCACAAATGGAGGGTATTCTTTACATGGTGGGTAATTGGAGATTAAGGTTAGATTTCATCAGTGCGGCCTCAGCTCTGTAGATGAGTCTTGAATGGAACAGACCTCTATCAGAGGTCACTTTTTACATATCAGCACTTGACAAGCTTTGATTATCAGTGCAGCACTTTGGAGGTACTTTAGAAATGAGCTGATAAAATGAGTTGTTACCTTAGTGATTTCCACCTGTCTTTTTCTGTCTGGTTTTCCGGACTTTCACTTTCATAGGAAGCCAGATACAAACCTGGAAAAGGTAAATAGGTGTTATTCAACAGGAACAGTAACCCCTTATCTCTCTGCATTGTTCTATGTCCTATATGCACCACACAGCAAGAGAAACTGTAAAACTTCATGGTCCACTAGGTAGCTGGAAATCAGTAGGACACTGACATTTAGCTCACACGTCTACCTTTGGAAAGCTGTTAGGTTTATTTTGATGAGAGAGTGAAGGAGCCCAGAGTTAAAGTACGTTAGGATGACCTTCTTTTAACGATATTAAGCAGTTAAACAGTCTCTGGTTTTCCATACAGAGATCTGGGCCTGTTTACTCCATCACAGCACTGCTTCCAAAGTGGTATATGAACATAAGAAGAGGCAGTGAGAGATGACAGCTAAACAAATAAACTTTTTAAAATTAAGGATATTCCCATCACTTAACACAACTTTATCTTTCTCAATCTTTTTAAAGCTTATGGGGACATGGTATCTTAAATAGATACAAAACACCTACCAGGTTAAAAATGAGTTACAGAAACCAGAGAAGGAACACAGTAAACACAGTAAACATGTCTTTTTTTTTTTTTCTGCAAAACTTTGCACTGTGGGATGCATTTTATGACACCAAAATGTGTCTAGGCTGTACAGTCCCCTCTGCAAAAGCTGGCAGTGCATTAATATCTCGTTGCCTTCACAGATTTTTTTTAAGTAGGCTGTGATTTGCGTTTGCACACATTTCCTCCTCTGACTGTTTAGTGATGCTTTATTCTATAATGCTGGAACCATCTCAGTATTCAAGTTTGTGCTACAATTCAACTGCATTTTAATATTCAAGTGCTGGCCCACCATTCCGCCACGCTGCGACAAGCACAGGGCAGCTGCGTTTCGTACACCACTGCTGCATCCCTCTGGTATATTCTCCCACCTTTCACTCAGGGCAGGTCTTTCTGCTCTGCGCTTCCCCTGGGTAACAGGGGAGGCCGGCTGTGGCTTCTGCTTCATGAATGCAGCATGAACACAGGGGAGGACATGAGAGAAAATCGGCAAGCAATTAGTGGGTTGAGGTCACCCTTTTTTCGTCCAGTGGCCTGAAAACCACACTTTTACCCCTGACTTTTACTTTCTATCCCTTTAGAGCCTAAAAAGAGAACAAGTGCCTCCATCCTATCTCCTTTCGATATACATTACTTAAATCACGTTCATTATTCTATTTTGGCAATCATTCTTCTTAGGATTTAGGCAGGATTTTTGAAGCAGTATTTTGTGTTCTGAAGTAGTCTGTGAAATAATAACTGTCTGGTCTGATTAACTTGGATTAGTACAGAAAACTGCCTATAGAAGCAAGAAAAAATAAACCCAACACCAGTATAGCTTATGGGCATATAGCTATAGACAATTCGGTGCGTGACAATGTACCACGAGGTGACTGACAGAAACCAACGTGAAAGGACACGGCCTGACACGCTGGATACCAAATTGAAAAGGACAGAGAAGTATAAAAAGACAATCAGAGAAATATTTTCAGAACAGGGCTTTCATGGCTACAGCTTAAATTAATTACTAGAAAAGATTTTCTTAAAAAGTCTTTTCTGTAGATAACATATTTCTTTGCTGTAGTGGAGGAGGTCAGCTGGACTACCACCGCCCTGGGCCGTGTTCACTGAAGAGATGACAGCCTTGGTTTGCGGAGGAGATCAGTTCTGGCTCCATCAATCACAGAATGAGTAGCTAAGGGACAGCTGACATTCACAGCAGCCCACGACATGCTTGTGTGGCCTCTTTTTGTGATTACAAAAATAGGGCCACAATGGCAACTTCCTAGACAGTGCCTTACAGTTACGGACAAGAGAAAAGCAATCAGGCAGCAACTTCATGAGCTAGAAGGCTGTATTTGCAAAAACACGTTGATGGAGTGGGGATAAATGAGCTGCGTGACAGGAAAGCCAGAACTGGGACTCATCAGTGAGAGAGATCAGGGAGTTAATTAGTAGTGATGAAGAGACATATTTTCAGTGATTAGAGCTAGTACAGAGTCTTACCATCTTCAGTAAAAATGGGAGCAGTATGCAAGTAGTGGATGATGTTAGGGTCTTGTTCAAAGGGACATTCCACTTGCTTCCATGTTATAAATTCTCCTACTTGCTTAGCCAGTTCCAGAAATTTCTGCAAACATAAAACCATTCCACTCAGATACAGTAAGATTATCTCACTAAAACAACCACATCCAAGCAGAAGACCGGGATCCAGGATCCCTTGTGCCAGCCACAAGGATATTAGGAGAAAAGAGCCTTGTATGTTTTAATTTGGTACATTTTCACAGGTCACTTACAGTGGAAAGAGAGAGGAAAGGGTGTGCTATGTTTCTTCTCACAAGCCGTCTCAGTTTTGTACTTAAATGAAAACGTATCCATGAACAAAGGTATAGGTTACACATATGTACTTAAGAACAGAGGACATAAACTTTGATGGAACAGGAGGGAAGAGAATTCAATATAAATTTCAAAAAGTGCAATGACTCCAACACCTCACAGCTCTTCAGGCCTTCTAACAGTTCTGATATAATTTAAGGCGATGCCAGGCTCAGTCTTTTATGCATTACTCACTATCTCACAATGCCAATAACAGAAGGAGAAATTGAATGCAACCAAAGTGATGCTGAAGAAATGATTTACCAAGAATCTGAGAGCTCAAGAACTATTTGCTCATGGACACTGGGCAGTTCTTTCAGAAGCACCTCCTCTCTGCCCCTTCCCCAGGATGCAAGAACACAGCCATCGCAGCGCACAGCACAATGCAGGACACCCGAGTGCCTGCGCTGCCGCTAGCGACAGGTTGTACTGGTGTAAAACCACCTGCTCCAGCACGGAATGGGGTTACTCAGGATATGTGACAAACACCACCTAGTGCCAGGGTTGGGGGGGGAATAGAAATCTTTCTACTGTGTTTAACAGAAATTCTTCTGTGTAAAACCTACAGGCAGGAGATAACATGTTTGACTCCTCAAAAATCGGTGGCACGACATTTACCTCTGCACTCTATATGCAGTATTCTAATTTTTCTTTAATGACCACAAGTAATTTACGTCTCACTTTGCCAAACCTCTTTATTAAAAATGAGGAAGGGCTAAAAAGGCAGGTAAAATAAAGTATAAAGCATTTAATACTGATTTGTTTATGTGTGTATGTAAGAAAAATAGTTCTCCATGTTTTCTGAAAAAGTAATCTTCCCCTCCAAGCCATAAGTATAGTCATTTATACTGCTGACATTGTATTTCTAGCAGCCAACCAATATCAAGCAAGTTAGGATGATCTGCTTGTAATGTTTATATAAAATATACTTATTAATTCTTTTAAAAAACATTCTGGGATTGGTTTAACCTTCATGCAGTCACTTGAGATCGTCCGTTCTGGCATATTTGGTCTTTGTTGGTCTGCACTGAATTTGCGGGTGAACAGTCTCAGATAGCACTACCAGAATGGGATAGATAAAAACATTTTTCAGATCTTACTTCAAAGTTGACATGTCCATTTGGAAGGCGATTAGCACATCCTTCATTCAAAAAATAAATGTCTTTGATCAATAGGCTGAAGAAGGGGATCACAATCTGTGAAGAGAAATGACATAACTATTATCTTTCCAGTTCAGTATTTCCTCTGCATGAAAGAACTCAATCAGGTGAGAGGAGAAAAAAAAGAAATATTAACTTTTCAGTGTGCTATGCACTTAAAAAAGCAGTACAGTGACAGGCAAGCAAAAGGGCAGTAGGGTACAGAGACACCTTCAGCTGTCAGGAGAACCTACGCTGAAATTAATATGAACTGAACACAATGGTCACTGAGCAGAACAACATGACTAAGAAAATGCTAATAACCCAGTTTATTATCAACAGCATCACTGTCTGATGGCAAGATCAGACAGCAAAGAGCAAAACAAAATTGCAGAACTCCTCCTTTCTCAGTTGGGTCTTTAAAAGCAAAGATGCTGAATACACAAATCGAGCAATTTAAAGACAGCTGGGAACCAAAGAACCAGTATTGTCCCTGAACAAGGGAAGACAGGATAAAATTTGATGACCAAGGACTTGTCTACAACAGTTAATCAGGAGTTGTTTAATTTTCAACAGCTCCATGCATGGCTGCCTCTTGAGGCATGTAATTTCCTTTGTAGTGCCTGATTAGTACAACCTGCTCCTCCAAATTAACCTGCAGACAGTAGCACTGAAAATATTAAGTTATTTGACAGGAAACTGCCAACAGTAGCCAGGAAGATCACTGTAGCTCTCAAAATAAGCCCTGGGCATGTTCCAGGCCAAAGTGGCATATAGCAGTGATCCCAGTCTTCTCTCTAACCCATCAGAGTCAGGTCATAATTTGCTACAGAAAAAGTCCACTTCTAGGTAAGACTCTTGAAATTAATGGAATTACAGCAGGGATAGATTTGATGCCAGATGTTCTACAGCAGAAAGCAGTAACAGCACTCCTGAAGCACATCCCCAGCACTGCAGCAGAGACCTAGAGTGCAGCAGGCTCTCTCTGGGTCCTCTTGTGTCACAACTCAAAGGGAAAAGAAAGATAACACAAAGGACAAAACCATGACAAAGCTGACCCCCAGGGCTCTGGGATTCGATATTCAAATCTGAGCATACCCACCTCTCCAGCAATGGCACTCTGACAGAAAAAGGCCACTAGCAGGGTTTGAGCTATAAGGTCAGCAGCCACCTCTGTGAACATTTTCCTGTGTAAGCACCACCCATCTTTTAAGCCATTAAGTATAAACTTAATCACCATGAACTTAAAGGAAAGCACATTGCATGGTAAAGTGTCCAAATGTTTCCACTGTACTATTTGTAAATTAACTGAACTGTAGCTTGTTAAGTGTGCACCAAAATTAAAGTGCCTTCATGGCATGCAAGACCAGCCAAGGGTGCAGTCCTTTAGTTAAGTATTTAATGTCGTACTGTTATTCCATCTCATGCTGTACATCGGCTGTAACGGGATATGAAATGGACCTAGAACAGGATTGGCAGCTGTTATTTTCCAGTCTACAGCCTTCATGATGCCAACAGTGAGTGCAAGCAAGTCACAGATGTGACAACACGGAGGCAAGGAGTCTACAAGTCACTACCAACTCTTGCTGTGAAAATGGAAGCCAATTTCTGCTTCAGCTGAAATACCACATGCAGTAAACTGCTAAAGATCTGCATCTTTTCTGGCTGTTTTTATGGGACAGCCATAGATAAACTCTGTAATGCCAGTGCAATAGCCACGAAAAAGCCTGGACTGACACTTCAAGAGCCACTGGCATTTTCCTGATACTTTCCACTGATGTATGAGCGAATGGAAACCAAGCACTGCCTAATCCCCCAAAATCCTGAGCTCTCCTATCAGGGTAAGGTGGAGCAATTTCTAGTCAAACTGAGGATTCATTTTTATATCAGCCAAACTAGATCAACTAACCTGAGGTAAACAATACAATTCAGTCTATGTGGTTTGTTTTCTGCCAAAAATGATGATAACTCTGTAACCCGTGTGGTCTTATAAGGTGTAAAGATACAGAAAGCTGGAGCTAGACACTGATCCTCAGCTAGAAATTACTGCCAGTTTCCATCTACATATTTTTTGCCAGCAGATGCGAGTTTGTTCTGCCCCACTCCACACCGCCTGGGAGCCAGGTCACCATCGTTAGTGTACTAAACATAAATGAAAAGCCTTGCTGAGAGGGAAGGTATATGAATGTGGGCTCAATGCCATGCTAATACAGCTACAAAGCCACCAGTCAACTCAGAGCATGGGTAGGGCTCATCCTCATCTGCATCCAAAAGGCGTCAGACACACCCTAGGATACAAATTCTCCCCACATTTTTAGGTGATTTCTGTCTTTGGGTCACCCTTTATTTCCCCAATGAAAATATGTTACCCTGTATGTTTTGTTTTCCAAATTTCTGTAGGAAAAGCACGAAAGTGGATATAGTTACACTCTAACGTTGGCTTCAATCCAGGCACTTCGCTAGCATAAAATCTGGGTTAGTGCCAGAAACTCGTATTTCACTCCCTTTTGATTCCCTCCCCGTGCCATCCAACCCACCCACATGCTGAAGGACAATTGCCTCCTGCAGAAAGAAGAAAGCTAATGAGATCAGACATGTTCTTACTCCATAGTATCAGGCAGCAACAACACACAGTACCGCACTGCACATACTCCCGACATTTCAAAGCCAGAGACGTGTCATTAGCCCAATGCAGAGTTTCCCAGTGGAATGACTTCATTTTGGAGGTGGTATAGGTCAGCTGACTGCACAGATAAAACCAGACTTAGTTCCTAACAAGCACACCCCTCTGAATTGTGCATGAAACATCAGCCCCTCTTCATTACCAGTCCTCTCACCCTGCACTTTGGCAGGTTTATTTCCGCCGCTGTATCGCAGCTCTCAGCTTTGAGAGCTGCCTTGCCGTGCTTTTTTACAAGCCTGCTCCTGCACAAGTAACGAGCGGCTGTAACTACGCCGCTTACACGCCGAGAGAAGGGCTGGATCAGAACAGTGTGGTCTGAGGTCAGGGATTCCTCCAGGGTACATTGAGATCCTTCTCCAACCTGTGCTGCAGCCTCGCACGAGCACCCTGAGGATGAGGATGGAGCGGGTGATGAAATCACGCACTGCTCTCTCTTTGTGCCAGAAGGCTGGTGTCATGTGGGGGATGTGGGTGAGATGCGTGCAGAGAGGAGGAGGAGGAGGGTGTCCCAGGTCACTGGCTCACCCTGCCTCCCTCTGAGGATGTAATTTAGCCCCTGAGCTGTGCTTCTGTTCAAGTGCTGTGCAAAACTCAGCAGCCAAGACACCAGCCCTGAGGAGAGAAGTAATGTTTCTGGTGAGTCTGACCATTAAATATGAGCTGCTCTGAGCCTACAGGCAGTTTTTCTTTCTGCGAGACATAACCCACTGCTTGGTCTGTTGGTCTGCGACCCCAGCGCTCCCTCCAGAGCGCCTGCCTTCTCCGGCAGACGGACTGAGGCCTGAAGCCTCCATCTGTGCTTCTGGGGTGGCTGCTTGTCAAGAGGAGGGTCAGAGAGGATTGGGATCTCAGACTCTTGTAAGCACAATTCAGTTTGAGGATAAAAATTTTATCCAGAGTGAGCTTTGCTACAAGCTTGCCATGAAACAATGTAACATTTTCTATCAAAAAAGTTGATAGAAACATTTTCTATCAAAAAAGTTTCTATCAAATGTAACATTTTCTATCAAAAGTTTCTATCATGTTCTTTCAATTTTATTCAATCTCATTAAAACAAATAACTGATAATGCTTATAAAAACCCCCAAAATTCCTTATTTCCCACAGCAAGAATTACATGATCTGCTGTATCCGACACTGTAAAATACTCAACGTGAGTAGCTACCAAATCATATGCTTGAGCATTTTCTTGAACTAATGTTATCTACACAGGGGAAACAGAATATGGACTTTTTCTTATGTAAAATAGATTCACTCTAGTAACCTCTCTGCTCTCAGTCTTAACCAGCTAGGGGTACAGATACGACAGAGATTGCTAACTTCCACAGGAGATTGAGTCAAACAATAAAGCAACTGGTTTGAATACATATGATGGTCGCAGAAGAACTAAACTGCAGAAGCATCTCAGACGGACAGGTGCTTGCTGCAGTCTGTCAAGAGTTAAAAGAATTTCTCTTCCAGTCACAAACATCCAGAGCCATCATCTCTTCTTTGCACAGAGAAGTGCTTTTCAGAACAACTCAGTGTACCCCCATTGCAGCTGAGTCAGCCTGCAACCAGATGCTGAGCTCATTTTGCTGTAAATGCTGCGAGATTCCATTAGCTTCAGCAGATTTACATCAAATTCACAGGGATGTGAGATTAGCATCTGGCCTGGCTCCTCCAGTGAATGAATATTAAATTCCATATTATGCTCGTTCATGCAGTATCTACATTACCTTAGCCAGGCTCTGTGCAGAGATTACCTATTTATGACTGTGTGCAACTGCAATGTTAAGAACAAACCCTCTTTCATAAAACAAGAAAAAAAGAGAATTGAATGGAGAAATAAGAAAATTAACTGGGGCACAAAGCAGGAGGATCCTGCGCTAACATCTTGTCAATCTGATTTTTGCAGCATCAGTGACATCTCAGAAAGCTACGTATCTGCCACTAACACTAATAAAATGCTTCAATCCTTGCGCACTGAGATGGCAGCAACAACCAAACGAAATGAAAATTCACAAGGACAGAATTTCACCCCAAATTTGCTGGAATGGATTCAGATTGCTGCAATGGATTCAGACCAGACTTCTTTGCAGGATTCGTGGTAAGTCATCTTTCCTTAATGGAAAAGGAGAACCACCTCATCTCTGAGTGCTGTGCCCTTTGCTCTCTATCTCAAATCACACAATAGGGGCTTGTCTGCACAGAGGCCTGGCTGGCACCGGTGTAACAAAAGCGCAGTTCCACCTGAGCCTGCCAGGCTGATGCTCCATACCAAAATAAAAGTCATTTTAGTCTGGAATACCTGTTCTACCAGGTTTATCAATCTAAACAACCGAATTTTCCAGGGATATAGAGATGCTTGCCACAAAGTCCTCCATGCTGTGTGTCCGGCCCTCTCTAGCTCCCCAATGTCTGAAAGCAAGTCCACAAAAGCCAGGGATCCATCTCAGACTCCCTTCAGCCACAGACTGACATTTCCAGTTGCACTGAGCAGTGCACGAGCCTTGCGTTAGTGACCCATAGGAGGAGGAGAGCCACTGACTCTCAGCAGCAATGCACGCCATCCGTGTATAAATGGGACGTGGTCACACCTACCTTCTCCCTGTTGCTGTGTGCGGTGAGGGACCTGTGAGCAGCCCCCCGCAATGCCGTTCTGTAGTTATAGAAGTTACCGGTAGGGTCCATCTGGTGCTGGATACACAAAAGACGACACATTGGTTAGAAAGAGACCTGGGTCCTCTGGATACAACTTTACCCTCATTGTAGCAAACCCCGAAAAAAGCCTAGCCTACATCTTCAAAAATCCACAGACACACAAAAACCCATGAACCAAAGACACAATGAGAGTTCCACAGGCCATGGCTGCTTGTACCTTTGATTTTTCTGGTAACGGCTTACTGAGCTTTTTTGTGAAGAATAAGGACCGTGCATTTTATATATGCCAAATCCTGGAACCCTCAATGCAAAAACCAATCTTGGGTCTTGTTCACTTGGTGTCTAAGGTATCGCTTGGGAGCTTTACACTCAGCATTGTGTCTGTGCTAAACAAAACTGACGTCAGTGGAAGCACTGTGCCTTGCATGCAGCCTCATATTTTTGTTTTTTTTTTTTTTCCTCCTCCTATTTGTGTGCTCTGATTCCCCTGTACATATCAGCAGCTTCACACCTTCGTCACTACACCAGGGAAACTTCAGCCAGAATCTGGCCCTCTGCCTGTGAAACATGTTTGCAAACATCTCATACCTGGGTAACAACGCGAGAATTCACAAACAAAAACAATCCAGAATATCATTCAAGCAATGTATCAGCGCTTGGTGTGGTTTGTTTTGTTTTTTTTTACCTCAAGAATGAAAAATTTGGCTGTTTTCACTTTTGACCAAGTCTTCTTTAGCCTGGAAACTGGACTCATGTTCATTCCAGCTGTGAGTGAGAAAGAAGAAAAGAGCACCATGGATAGGAGTTGGGTTTCCTTTTTCATCTGTGACAGCTGATGGAGAGACCCGGTTAAAAGGTGTACTTACAAATGATTGCCATCAGCGAATTAAAATTCCCTATGTTAAAGCACTCTCGGGCAACATCAATGAAGAATTCGATGACTTGTGCTCGCTGTTTCTTTTTTGCAGGCTGCAAATTAAAATAAACAAGTATCTGTAATAAGCATATGCAGAATTGGAGGGCATCTTGGGCATTTGTTCCATACATAGCATGGGTCTGTGCACAGCTCGGGCCATCTGCTACCAGTCACTGACCCTAATTCTGTGCCAGCAACCCAGTGGATGCTGGTGACTGGCAGTCTCTAAAATCAAAGCTTTCATTGCAGTGACACAGAAGAAATTCACGGCAATTCCCCGGCTCGCCTCAGTTAATGTCTTAGTGCTGGAAGAGGCAGCCCAAACAGCCCCGAAGCGGTGCCTCAGCTCCCTGCTGGCCTCCCTCAAGTCAGTGGGCACATCAGCACAGACTTTCCTAAGGGCAGGATTTCACACCCGTGTAACAGCAGCATCTTTATCCCAGAAAGATTTTGTTTCATTGCATTAATCCCTTTCCCCTCTTCTAGGCCTTTCAGCAATATGGCCGGGCCAAATGGTAGCTTGCATTTTAAATACACGTTTTAATTGGACTGGAATCACCCACCTTTTCCAAAGATGATCTTCAAATGGCAATGCTTTTGAGTCACAGGCTATCTAGGCTGTTTATACTATTACTACTCCTCCCTTCCACACACTTTTCAAAGGAGAACACACTCATTTCATTTTGATGGGGCCGAGTTAAACAAACTAAAGCCACTACCAAGTTAAAAAACCACTAGTCACAGCTACAGTAATGGGCAGCAGGACAGAAAGCCATGCAATGGGAATTCACAAGCACAACAGAGCTTTAGGATGACAGATAACAAATACTGCTTCACTAGAACCTTTTCCAGCAGTAACCTCACAGGATATTTCAAGGCATTTTTTTCCCCTCTCTTTTTCCCTGCAGAGTTCATTATTCCATACTGTGCTCTTACTGAATCAAGAGAACAGTGTCACCAGCTCTGTTTTGCAATATGTTTGTCATTTATCAGGTCACTTCTGCAAGTACAGTATTACTAAAACTTACTGTGAGATGCTTAGCTAGGCTGTAAGAAATAAATCCTCAGGTTTGCTTATTAATGTATGATCTCAAACTGGTACTTCAGGCATGTCGTAAAGCATGCCTTAGAGCAGCCTTCCAGTACTTAAAGGGGGCTACAGGAAAGATGAGGAGGGACTCTTTACCAGGCAGCGTAGTGATAGGATGAGGGGTAACAGTTTCAAACTGAAAGAGGGGAGATTTAGATTAGATATTAAGAACAAATTCGTCACTGTCAGGGTGGTGAGGCGCTGGCACAGGCTGCCCAGAGCAGCTGTGGCTGCCCCATCCCTGGCAGGGTTCAAAGCCAGGTTGGATGGGGCTGGGAGCAACCTGGTCTGGTGGGAGGTGTCCCTGCCCATGGCAGGGCGTTGGAACTAAGTGAACTTTAAGGTGCTTCAAACCCAAACCATTCTGTGACTCTATGCCACACATCTCCCTTACCATGCAAATTTCTGTTGCTACAAGATAGCAGAGTCTATTGAACCATTTCACATAGGCCTCAAGGTTACTTGTCTTCTTCTGCTCACTGAAACAAGTCTGGGGAGAAAAAAAAGCACAGAAAGACATATAACTGTGTTTCAGTTAGCTGCCTGGTCACTAAGATAAATGCTACACAAAGGTAATTACTGGCCACATCTCTCTCCTGCACAGGGAAGACTGTGCGTTAAGGGCCCCGTTCAAAAAGTCGGCGGGTAGGTGGGTGGCTGGCAGATGCACAGGGGCTACCTGAGCGTGTGACATGGCACAAGTCACACTAGTGTATAGCAAACAGCCCCATTTTGCCTGCAGCAAGTGTTCACCCACACAGTCTGCACTGAGCCTTGTTCCCTGGGATATTAACAGCCAGGACATTGCAGGATTCAGCCAGTCACAAGAATATGCAGAAAAAGTAAGACAAGCAGAGCCTTCCACAGCACGCTCGGTTTGTGGCTTTGATTCCAGGACTTCCTTCACTTCAGTAAATGCAATCACCCACAGCCCTTTTCTGGTGGGGAAAGACCATAATTTAGTGAAGTGAAAAAGAGATAAGCAAGAGAAAACACAGTTCTTGTTGCTTCTTTATAGAAAAAAATTTTTTCCTTATTGAGATTTCAGGGTAATAGGCTCTCTAGCGACCAGCTCTGTCTTGATGGCTGCTCTTGAACAGGTCACTTACATGCCAGAGATACTTCACTGATAAGAGCCACTACATTTTTCACTTTTTTATGTGAAACATAACATAAATTCCCATAACCGATACAGGCTGTGGGAGCAGACACTTGGCTGAACTCTTCCAGTTCCTTTGACAGCAACAGATAATTTGACTCCAGCAGACTGATAGGACAGTTCACACAGCCTGAAGATGTTTCTGGGGATTATAAGAATTCAAGTCCTTTTCCCAGCCCTAAACTCTTAGGTTGTCCATCTACGACACACTGATCTCTAGAGTTCACGTGATTTGTTTCAGCATTCATTAACATCCACTAGAGGGTATCAGAGAATAGTGATTTTTTGTTTTATTAAGATGATCATTTCCCAGACCTACCATAAATACATGCCACTAAGAAAAACATCACAATGCATAAACACAGATCCATTCATGTCAATGGGATTACCCATATTATGTAAGTTAAACAAGTGACTATAACTAAGAAACGGGGCTTAACATCATTCCCAAGATAATTCAAAGCAAGAAAATATTCACCCGTGATTCTGAATACAGGTGTGTTTAGAAACAGAAATCACAGTACCATGCTATGGAGTACATCTTAACAAGCCTGAAATTCCTAGCCACTTTATGAGTAGACCACATACACAATAAAAAATATATTTCAAAAGCATCTTGAAAGTGAATGTCAGCAAGCAGCCTGTAAATATCAAACAAAACAAAGGAAACCCAAAGCAGCTCCAGTCTGCCTATCACAGTTGCTTTTCATGCACTCTGTGGTATTTCTTGTTCCCTGCTACAGCAAAAAGTGCAGGAAACCTAGGTTTTGTTTTGAATATGGTATTTCCATCTCAACAGTGCTGTCCTGTGCCAGGGCATAAGAACCACAGCTAATACCACAAAACTCGTGAAAAACGTGCAACAGTTAAAGTTGAAACAGACTGCTTTTTAAAGGTTAAGCTTTATAAATGGCAACAATATTTAGCACCTCCCTAGCATCTCCCATCTGCAACTCAAAGTGCTTGATAAACATTCATGAGTGAAGCCTTTTGAAGCCCTCATAGACGAAAAATGTTCAATATGATCTCCAGCTGGAAGGGATTCAGACCAGAGCCAATTCCCTGTGGTTAACAGGGCTGGGCTCCATGGGTCAGGGAATGATATGTCACTCCACATAAGGTTTGTGCCACTACGTACAATGGTCTGCCAGGTCCCACGCGATCCCTTGGCTGGACCTTACCGTGGTGCGGAGGCTCTTCTACATCATCGCTGGGACCTCTGGAGAAAAGCTCCAGACTACCTCTGCTTTCATCAGCCTTGCTGACTTAGAGCCAAATAATTTGTTAGTGCCACATCTTGTGTGAAACCTTATGGCAGTTTTGCTTTAACTAAGTAGGTCCTCCTGGGGGAAGACATTGCCTGGAACTTCAAAGGCAATGCAGTGGTGCATTCCTGTTTTGCGCCTGTTATTTTCTCTGTTGTTATGCACTTCAATGAAGTCACAGAACTGTTACTGCGCAGCACCTCAGTGTTCAGATTTGCATTTGAAGAACACACACAACTGTCAAATAGCTTGTCATAGTCTGTCACAACGATTTGCTTGGATTTCCCATCCCACCATTATTTTCAGGCTCTCCGCCTCTCATTCTAATCCTTCCCATCCACCTAGGCTGATGTTTCTTGATGTTTACTTGCTAACCTCAATTTCTCTTCACATCTTTGTGGTATTCTGTGCTGGCCCTGCGTTTGAAATTCTAGACACAGCTACAGCTGTTGTGCGTGCATTAGTCTATTACTGAACATTTCCTTCTTCCACTTAGCACCCCTTCCCCTCTATGGCTTTACGCAATTCGATTTCACTCATTGCCTCCTCCCTCCCACTCTTCCAAAATTCACTCAAATTTAGTGCCCTCATTTGATCTCTTTCATTTTACTTTGATACAGATAATGACGACTGTTCAGTTTCATTCTTGTCCCTCATGTTTGCAGCCGGCTGCTGAAATCTCACTGTGGCTGGTTTGATATTTCATGTTTCTGAGACATCTTTGCTACCTTGGAGTTCCTTCCTAAAGGATGTGATCGCTGCTCAGAATACTTGAAATGCTAGCTCTGCCCGCTCCCTTCTCCCTGTAACCAACTGCAGAATCTCCATAACTCCAAAGAGAGAAGGAGAAAGCCCAATGTTGCACTTTTCATCCATCCATCCATCCATCCATCCATCCATCCATCCATCCATCCATCCATCCATCCATCTTTTCACTGTAACAAGCTATTCCGGTGGTCTTTGGGCAGCACTATAAACAGAGGTCTTCCTGTTACGTTCAGCATCCAGTGATGAAATTCTGCCATTGATGTATGATCTCAGTGGGAGCCCATATGCAGTTCTGGGGAAGAATTTTCCACTCTCTCTCTTTTCTGGCAGTATGTGAAATCTCTGACTTTCCCTCTCCAGCCAGGAAGTCTCTTTCCTTATTGAGGCAGTCACTGAAATGCTGCTTCAAACCCCACTGGAGTCAGTGGAAAGACTCCAACTGGCTTCCACGGTCTTTGGATGAAGCCCGGATCAGGCACTCTGTTCCCTGCGGTGCTTTGGGTTAAAAGCTATTGTGTAGAGAGAGAATAGTATGTTGATTCATGACGCACTGACTCATTACTGTGGTGTCTGGGCACACACTATGGGCATTACATCACATCCAGAGTCTTTACGCCTTCGACACTGGGAACAGACATTCCCCAGTTGTGTACAGCCGCAAACCATCTGCCCTGGCCAAAGCAGGTTAGGAAGAGCAAGCCAGAAAGCAAACATCAGTGTATTGACCAGTTTCAGACTGGGACATACTCTCACCAGGCAGGAATGGCAACGACCTCCCAGTGCGAGCTCTACCAACAGGTTCCATCCTTGCCGTGAGAATACAGATCATCAGTTGGCCTGGCCACGGTCAACACATGCCCTGGGCCCTGCCCTTATGGATCTCATCACACCAGTTCCTCTAGAACAAACAATGATTGAAGGAGATACTTTGCATGTGGACAAATCATACCTTGGTGCCATCCAGAGGGTCTTTATGTACAAATGCCTGCACAAACTCCTCAGGTCCAATGTGACTTAGCCTCTCCTAGAGGGGGGAGAAAATAGAGAGAGGAAGAAATAAGAAAGCACCCCAGAACCTCTTCTGTTTCTCTTGGTAAGACATCCCCATTATTTGTCAGTTCTGAATGGTGTTACTGAACTGGTACACAGCCAACTAGCACCAGACATTAAAATTCATAAGAACAATTAGAGTTATTCAGCAGAAAGAACAAAATGAGAATAAATGTGTCTCATTACTGACAAGCCACAGTAAGAGCCCTCTCCACCGAGCAGAGGGAAAGGTGCTGGATGCACGAGGCCCAATCTGGGAGCCAGCACACCTCAATTCTCTGCTTGATGCTGCCACAGACCTGCTGTGGTCCAGCATTACTCAACAGCCTTGTTTCCCAGCTGCTAAAATGGCAGTATTGCTGTGATGTGGTAACCATAGCAATCTGTTGCTCATCCACACACAGTGCTCAGACCCTACCTCCCTACCCAGTGAAGCTCAGGTGATGCCCTGGGGTGGTGGCTCTGTGCCACTGGGGAAGGCAGGCACTGGAAATGCATGTGCTTATGTTAAAGGCACTGCTTACACTGCAGAGTGTCCCAGGCATTAACCAAAACAAGAGTAAATAAAGGCCTCAGATCTCTCTCAGTAAAAGATAGCCATCTTCATCAGCTCCTGAACAAACCCAGTAGTTCCAGCCACACCACTGACCTTCTTAATAGGCTTTTCAATTCCCTTGAACATGTTTATTAGAAAAAAATATTTTCAGTAGGTTGTAGGTCACAAGGGTATTTCAGAGGAGGTATTTTGGAATTCCTACAGCCCAGACTCAGGACACTAAAGCAACAATAAAATCAACAGTAGTTCTGCTTAAGTGAAAATTTTACGGCTACTCCCATGCTATTTCTCTTGGCTTCTCACCTTCCCACTGATAACTGTACAGGACTCTTTACTAACAAATAACTGTTATTAAATAAGTAATAAGTAGCAAATAATTTTTACTAACAAATAAGCATCAGACAGTTTTAGTGCAGAGTAGTTGGTGTACCGGACACAGTAAGTGAAAGGGAAGGTAGAGAGCTCTGATTACAGTGAAGTGGAATGTAAACCTCTGGCTGCAAACAGTTTTAAAAGTGCAGCAGCGCCCCAGTTACAGGGAATGTCCACTTGGAAGACAGTTGTACTGTGAAGGAAAAGAAAAGCAAGAGAAAAACTCCAGGCAGAAGAACTTCTACTCTTTGGCTTAAGCTATATAAAGCAAAGAGAACCAAAGTTGCATGTTCTGAAAAATAACCAAGGCAAGAAGATGATCCTAAATTCAGGGTTTCTGAGCTATTCAGCTTCTTGAAAAATAGAATATCAACTACCTTCAGAATTCCCAAGGCTAATTCCATGATATTCACTCCAATCCACAGTCCATTTCATGGTTTGTTTTTCCAGCCTTCCTCTCAAGGATGAACACTTTCTACAGGAGGACAGGCAGCAGGGAATCATTACAGCATCAAGAGATCTGCAGATGGCAGCAATGTGTTATGTTCTTCTGTGAACATCCAGGAGGTCTACACGGAGGACCTGAACCTGGGAGAAGGGTGTGCAACACAACAGTCTGTCCAACATCCTGGTACTGCAATTGGAGCGATTACCATCAAAAGCCTGTTCGGGAGCGGACTGCAGTCCAGCGAGGGAAACAGCAGGACTTCGTGTGGGTGGTATTTGCTCACCCTTGTATGTCCATGCACAAAGTCCCAAAGGGAGGAATGAAAAACACATCAGACAACTCAGATGCTTTGTGTTATCACAGGAATGGATTTAAACTGTTAAAATTTCTTCCAAATTAATAAAAAGGCTAATGACCAGCCAGTTCAATAGCACCTTCAGGTTGTGGGGCTCAGAGCACCTTACAGAAGCGAGATCCCCTTGATCTTCCTGGGACTATGACTCGCATTTCACAAATAAGCAAGCTGAAAAAGTAAAGAGACCCATCCCAAGAGGCACAGGAATACTCTGATATATAGCTTCCTTCCTGAGCATCTCTTAACCTGTCAAACCCTGCCTCTTACTGCAGTGCTGATACAGCGTGGGATGTGCTGCAGCAGTGCAGACACTTTTTGGTTATGTCTGGAATACTTAGCAGCTGATGGCCTAAAATAATATCTCTGACTGCAGAAGTTGGGAACCATTCCCACTTACCAGCTCCACATGTGTCAGCTGCTGCGCCAGAGTGTAAGGGTCACTGCAGACGCTCAGGATTTCTCTCTGAATTGATGGAGGTTTACTTTTAAAGGCAACCAGCTTATCAGAGACAGCAGCACTGATCTTGACAATCCCTTCTTGCCCATGGCTGAGGGCTGCAAGCTTCTGATTCAGGGTTTGCAAAAGCTGATTCATTTTTTTCCAGTAGGCCTGGAGAGACAGGGAGAGAAAGAAACATAAACCACCCGCAAAACTTGACAAAGGAGTGTTTTTATGCTGAATTTTCCCTTCTGTAAAACACTCCTAAGCCAGCAACAGGTTACCATTTTATTTTCAACAAGCCTATTTCAGAATGACCAGTTGGCTTAATTGCAGTTCTGTGCTCTGGACCACAGAAACAGACTGCAGTCAAGAGAAGAGGCAGGCACGACTGGTGGGCTGGGCTGGCACTGCTCACCTTTGCCCCACTCACCTGTTCCTGCCAACATCAGGATCAGAGGAGAGGTAATGCTCCAGCGTGAGTTACTGCAGCTTTCTGGAGCACAGCAGCACTCTGTACCTATCCCTTATGTCATCCACGTGTTGGCCGAGAACTCTCCCTGTTAGTGGTGACCAGTCAACTCTTATTTATTAGGAATAAGGAATGTTTCTAATGCTATTCTCTCCATCCTTTTGAGCTGAAAGCAGCAGAAGCACACTACGCAGTTGGAGTTGGTCTGAGCATTGTGTAGCTTTGAGTATTTAATATCCAAAATGTTAATTGCTACTGAAGGAAGCATATCATATTCCAAGCACAGCCATGTGCTCAGCAGGATGATCATTACTAAGTTGCTCAGGTTGTTCTCAGAGCTGGAGCAGCTCTTTACAGACAACGAGTGGAGCCGCTGGCCATGGAGGATGGGCAGAAAGAAATGCCTTCAACTCTTCATGCCTGACAGATGCAGACATCCTAAAACTGAGATAATGGAGAGAACTGGGGGATGGACTCCAAAGACAAGGATTAATTGGCAATGTCCTTGGGCAAAAGCCTCACATGGAGCACGAGGTGTACCCTGCTGAGGAACAGGAGCATCAGGCATGGGTACAACGGGTGCTTGCTCAGTTTCAAAGAGCATAGTCACTTGGGAAAACAGTGTGCAGGCTGGCCTACTAGCAGCTCCTCTGCCAGCACAATGACAGACAGTGGAGAGATCCTCTGGCTGCTCACAAGCGGAATAACTCCTCACTCCCCATCCAAACGGAATTTAGTAACGTCAAGTTGCCAGTAACATCAGTTTGTAATCTGTCCGTGTGAAACCTGAGCTGGCACGGAGCCCTCCTCTGGAACATCTGCACTGCACCGCAGCTGTACGCCCCGGCAACCTCCATGCAGTCCTCATCATCGCAACAGGGACTTGGCCGCATTGCGCCTTCCCATGAAGGCCAGCACACACCTGTGGCACATCCCAAGCTGGCTGCAGCCCAAGTGAAGTCTTGGGAAGTACCCCTGAACCCCATGCTTTAGATCCTGCCTTTGTCTTCTTCACAGTTTTGTAGACTGTGGATAGTCTTCAGTGTTAGGCACTGACAGCACTCATGTTTCAGGTCAGTGCTCTTCTCACCTATACAGGACCCCATCTGCACACTGGAAGTAGCATCTCCTACTACTTCACAGTGGAGAATAACATGCTTACGTCTACTCTGTTTCCACTACAGTTGGAGGCTGGAAACCTTTAGAACATCCCAAGTGCTTCAACTTTTGCAGCAACACTTTGTAACTTTGATACAGCTTTTCCAGTGGAAGGTTTCACATTGCTGAGGAACCTCTCATTTCACTCAAGAAAGATGCTCTCTTGAGCTGGGCTGGAACATGGGCCAGATAAGCAGGATGTAATCAGGCTTTTGGGGGAAAAAAAAAAAAAAAAAAAAAGCGCCGATAGATCTGAAATGAAGCAAGTACCTAGAAGGCAGGAGGGACTTGTCTCGGAGAATGACAATACATGTTCTGGTTGGAAGCAAATCACACAGGAGGAGTGAAAATTGAGTGAAGAAGACGTAAAAATAAATCATCAAAATAATTTATAGAAAAAAAGAAATCCTTTCAGTTTTTCTCTCTTCCTGATGTACACTAGCTCCAAGAGAGGCTACTGGCTGCCTTCCTGTAAATCCTCATTCAAACAGACGGTCACACTTTTGATTTACAAAGACTGTCCTGGACCCAAACTACTGACCACCATCTAAATATTTCTCTGGTTTACATCCAGGTGTGTTTGCAAATCTCAGCATAGCTTACGAAGCTCTATGAATAGAACGTTATTTTTTAGTGGAAACTCAAATAGAGACCTATTTGGTATTTTGTGAACATATTTTGTAAACAGGGGAATTAATTTTGGGGCGGGGGAGGGCACAGCACTGAAAACCAAGTTTTCTACTGAACATAAAACATTTGGCTAAAAACCTTCAGGCTGAAAACCCAGTTTTCTTTCAAAAAGGAGTATGGATGAGAAATCTTGGACTGGCCATGTCTGCGCAGTATCAAATTCTTCATTGTTTGGATGAAAAGCTGAAAAGCAGCATAAAATTTCTTGAAAGACATGCGTATTAGCCAGTCTTTCAGTAAATCATTATCAAGAGATCTAGTTACACCTGGTTTTGTAGGGAATGCAGCACAGAAATATAGATGTAGACATCAGTAAACAAAGACTCGGGTAAGCCAGCCACCTAATAAAGAATGCAATAAGAGAGACACTTAATGGTCACCAAAAAATTATTCAGAAATTAGACGTCTTGAAGAGACTCACTGAAAATCTGTTGGGTGCACCCTGGCCTAGAAAGCTTTTCTGTGCCTGTTGGGGGAGAAACTAAAAAAAAAATAAAAAAATAATCCTGCTTTTGCCCTTTTAAAAGCATTTCCTGCCTTTAAACTGTGTTCACTGAGTGAAAACAACATTGTTCATTACCTTCAACACGCTGATAATTATCTTGCCACAAAGTGACTCCCCATTGTAGAGGGGCTGCATGCTGGACTCTATCAACCGATTTCACTTCACTGCCACATTAACAGTCAAAAGAAGCATACTACTGTTTAATATTTAAAGAAAATGTTTCGTTCTTAACTGGGAAAGTTCCTCTGAAGACAGCAGGCCTCAGCAGGTGGCTTAGGAGTTCAAATTTTAATTAAAATTTCTAACTCTAAATGCAAATCACAGCACTTACTAAGAAATGCTTCTCAGCATGGACACCTTTATAAGCACATCACAGAGCCTTTAGAAAGTGGACTCTACAAAGGACAGGAGCATACACTGCAGAGGAAAATCCCGCATTGACCTACATGGACTAGATGACCTCACAAATCTTTCAGTTTTTAATTTCTGTGACTCACAATGGGAACAACTTCCTTCCAAACAACTAATGGGCACCACCACTCTTTTGTGCTGTCCTTTAAAAAAAGGAAATTTGCATTTGTAGGATATGAGCTGTTTCTTAAATTAATTATTGATTTTGCTCAGGCATAATCACTTGCAATTACAGTGCATATTTGAAAAACAATGATTTGAACCTAATCTAGTTGGAGGCCCCCCAGGGCACCCATAAGCATTGGTACACAGCTATGCATGCTCCAGAGCAAAGGCGTGCAGCGCTCGCTCCGGTTAGGCAAATAAACTATTGCTTTGTATGCAAAAAGTTGTTTTTGAGCATTTATGGCTCTCCACCATGACAGCTACTGCTTTTAAAGAGCACCCACAAAGCCCCTGTTCTCTGCCCTTTTGGAGGGTCCCTTCTTTCTAGTGGACAAGATTTTGGTGGGCCTGCACGGGTTTCTCTCACTTCAGATGCTGCAGGGCTGCAAAGGCATCTTTCCTGGTGGTTGGGAGGAGCAAGTTCATTGCCTCTTCCCCTTGAGGGAGAAGTTTTACTGCTCTAGTCAATGGAATTGAGGCCACCTTGGCTCTTTCTGAGAGTCCTTAGTGTTCCCTTCACCTCCATCAACGTGTCACACAGCTTCCCCTTCCCACTCCTTTATCACCCACAGGCTGGCCAGCCCAGCCAACTGACCTGTGCCAGCCCACAGCTACCCAAAAGTACCAGCCATGATGCCAGCCCAGCCCAAGAGCAGCTGTTTCCATTTCTCTCCTGTTTCATGTGGGTAAGAGGGTCCAATTTCATTTCCGTCATGCTGCAGCCCTGCTGATTCCTTCTCTCTTCTCTCCACCCCTCTCTCTCTCAGCCTCATGGGTATGGGCTTTTTGTTCTATTGAATTGTACCCATCTCTGGCCTGAAGCCAGGCCTTGATGTAGCCAATGGAACTGAATTCTTCCACATCCCATGGTTAACCTAGAAGTAATTACAGACTCTCTATGTACTATTTGCTCTTAACCTTATTATTTTTATGGACTTTTGGGGATTTTTAATGTTTCTGAATTAATTTGTGGGGTTCACCCACCTGAATTTGCAAGCAGGTCTCCCAGACACTCCATTCATTGTGCCCTACTCTGCCACACACACGGCTCACGCGTTTGAACACCAAGACCATACAGCCATCTAGACTGAGATTCTGCCCAGCAGGCCACACACTGCTGTCTTCTGCCACTTTCATGCTCCTAGAGAAGCTACATGTCCATAAATATTTGTATTTTCTTTAAATGGCAGGACTGTTCCTTGCTATGTTCCTTACCAGCCACACAGGCTGGATTCAACAGGAGCTACCTCAGCCCATAGATGCTGTGAACTTTGATGGGGATTCCAGAGGCATTAGTCAAACTGTGATCAGGGTCTGCTGCTCTGTGCCTGCTCATCTCCTGTGTGGGTACCTGCTTCACAGTATCAACCAGCTCAAGTGTAGGGCCTGTGAACTCTTGCACGCAGGACAGGAAGGAGTAAGCCAAACCCTTGTTGGATCCACTAATGAAAAAGATGATGAAATGCAGATTGTTTCAAACAAATTACCAGACTGAAGACATGTAAAGTAAGGAATGGAAAACTAGATTTCAGCACAGGTGATGAAGGACATAAGCAAGCAGAGAAGGTGAGACAAAAAAGGACCATAAATGTCCTTAGAGAAAGGAAGCCCCCATCAGGTACCTTCAGGCAATGATGATCTTTTTTAGCTCCCCAATGCAATCACTTGACAACTGGCTGCTTGCTCCATTCCTCATTCACTAAACTGAACATCCTGGAGCACTCCTCGAGCCACTGCTTGGCCAGGATGGTTGGTCTCAGGTCATGATCCTTCACTCCTCTGCTAGACTATAACTTGGGAGATCACAGCTCTGTCGCTATTTGACTCGTGACCACTACCTTCGGTCTATGCTATGCCTTCAGATCTTCCGTCTGCAAAATGGGAATGTTATGATCGTACAAGTCAATGTGCAGTAGAAAAATTCCACTGATCACGCCAATGTTTCCCCATGTCACTGCCACAAGAGTACCTAAATGGAGAGATGTGGCTTTCAGGGAAGCCACTACAGGTTTTAACTGTTAGAGGAGAAAAACTGTGAGAGTATCCAGGAAGGGGCATGGAATAGAATGTGGCAAAAGGAGGAAAAGGAGGAACCAAGTCAGAAAATGAACTCAACACCTCCACACAACATCCCAGGTCGGACATCCTCACCTCATCACATGGGGCTATCCTGTGAATCATGTCTTTCAGGTGGCCAATCTTTTTTGAAAGTCATACGGGAATGTCTCTGTCCACTCTGTCAGCAACTGTAAGATTTTGGGTCCAAATTTTCTGATCCGAGCCTGAAATGCAAACCAGAAAGATGGACAGGGATTGAAAAGTGTTTACTCATTAAAGTCTCCCAGAAAATATGTATGTCACTGAACATGGGGCCAGATTTTCAAAGAAGGCGCTTATGGTTGCACCTGCAAAATGCGCACACATGCAAACAAATAGCGTGGTGCACAAATGATACATTTTGGCGTGCAAAATATACCAGAACTTAGATGCATGCACAACTGTCTGTCTTCCATGCAGATATAAGTATTCTGCACATGCAATTGGCCAGTTTATGGTTGGATGGACATTTTGTTGGTGCAACCTTTATACCTTTTTTAAAAGCATCTGGCCTTTTTGCTGATTTGAACCACATGTTCTTCCCTTTTGTACTTACAGCCCTCCTACATTTTCATCCTTCCCTGAAAAATTGATTGGAATGTATTTCTTGACCAAAGAGCTGGTTTTTACTTCTTTGCTTTCTGGCTGTATGAAAAAACTGCTTAGCGACCAGCATGAGGAAGAAAAGATGGAGAGAACAGCAGCACCTTAGTAACTTTACCTGGGCTACTGATAATGTTGTTCTCTTCCCACATGAGCTCAAGGTCATGATAGGTCAAGGGTGCCCACTCACATAACCCACAGCTGATGCCCACTTTACTTTTGGTGTAGATTTATCTGAGGATGCAGCAGTGGGAATAGTCAGAAGATATGGGGCAAGGAGGGAAACGTGGGGAACAGCACAATGGGTGCATTAGTGTTATCTCAAAAGATGGCCAGTGCGGCGGCTTCCAAAGCTTTCATCCTCCGTTATCCAAGAACATGTGAAAAGGAAATTGCGTTAAATAACAAACTGCGTTTTTATTTACAGAAAAGCCAGACCAAAACAAACAGTCGCCTTCTGCATTCTACGTACTGCAGCTGAAGTGTAGCCTGTAATCAGGAAAAATTATACTCTTGAGCTCCACAGCTCTTTGCTTTTCAACCAAGGCGGTTAAAATGAGTATTTCAGCTTTCCACCAACAACAGGTTTCAATGAACCACATCTCCAAAAATAACTGCTGTCAGCTAGCATTAAGCTCACGCTCAAAGGCCAGCAGGTGGCTGCTAAAGGGAAAGCTTTATTGGAAACTACAAAGGTCTGGGGAGACATTTGCTCCAGCTGTGTAAACTGCTATTACGGACTGAAGGAGAGGACTTTGTGGAAGTCACAGGACACAGGGGATGGGAGGTCGCTTCTGTGCAAAGTTTCAAAGTCAGCCCCGCTCTCAGAAACACGAAATCAGCTGCATCCCACCAACTCTGCACTACTATGGGCCACTCCAAAATGCAGATTCACTTCAGGCAAACAGAGATATCTTCGTAATAAGACAGTGTTTCTCATTTCTTGCGAAGTTTAACGAGCAGCAGAACTTCGCAACGCTCACATTTTAATCCTCCTAAACTTGCATCTGTCATAGCATCAGAGAACAGAACCCATCACACCTTAGAGAAATTGCTTTGTGTGGTGCACCTCATACAGATATTTCTATTAACACTGACTGCGTGGGCAACCCAAGTATCAGACTTCTAAGTAGTTTGACTAATTGCTCTCCATAGTGAGGCAGAACTCCTGTTACTCATGCAACCAGTTGCCTGGGTAAAACAAGCACACGTGTTCAGACGGTGGTGATTCAGTATTTGATGCCAAAAACTCTGTTTCAAAACTGGAAAGGCCGATCTTGAGAATAATTTCAGAATTTGGGGGGTTTTGGAAGGTTGAAACTAAAACACGTTCTTCACCCCTCCACCGCACAGAAGGTGCATCACCTGCTCCAGGTAATGCACTGGACAGGTCTTCACCAATGCACCGAGAAGAGCCTGGATGGAATCCAGCACTGAATAGGATCCAGTGGGATCCACCTCCACCACGCCGTCTGTGAGACTGCCAGAGGATGCACATGTGTTGTTACACGCTGTATCAGTCCGTGCAGTCCCCAGGGCAAAACAGGAGGAGTGCCAGCGCAGGAACAGCCCGGATTTTCTCATTCTGTGAGCTTGTCACAGCCTCACTGCTGCTTCAACGCGCTCCTGGTGTGCCAGACAGCGCCGCTCCGCAGCACAGCTGCGCGGACGATCTGTCAGTGCTGGCAACAGGAGGTGAGTGGGTAGCTGCATGCTGTTACGTGGCGTTCAAAGTGACAGGTAAGGCCAAGAGGAAATATTACTGTACCAGAAACAAGAAAGCAAAAGGGCAGATACATTAAGTAGAAATGGGAAAGAGAGAGTGGTGTGTCGACATCTGCAATTGACAGCATGTGAGGTTTACGTCCTACCTCCGTGCATCCTGCAGGCTTCATCAGAGCCTTAAAGAAGTTAAGAAGGAAAGTCACCTGGGAAGACTGAGACAGGGGGAAAGGGAAAATTAGAAGAAAATTTGAAGTGACTAGTGCCTGGAGCACTGCTCTTGGACATGGATACTAGGATGCCTCAATGTCAGGATCTCAGTGGCAACTGTCATCTGTCATGAGAAAATGTCATTCAGTCCAAAGGGAGGCAAAGGACATACACCAGAGCCCCAGAATTCTGCTGAAAATACCTCACATTTTTCTGCTGTAAAGATAAACTAACCTTGTCCAGCACGGGGTCGTCCAGCCGCTGCTGCTCAATGCACTTGTGACAAACTCGGGACAAAAAATGTGAAGATATATGCTTTCTGTGGGAGAAAGACAAGCAGACCTGCTGTAAGCAGCCACACAGTGGGTAATACTACCCATAAAAGCCCCAAACTCCACAGTTTTTGCATTACCACTGGGACAGACCTTTATGTCTAAAAGACATAAGGATTCCCGACCCTGAAAATACAACTGGGTACAGCGGGTGCAGGAGGCAGCGGCATCTCCTTCCTCCACAGCATCCATTTCCAGCCTTTGGTTGCCCAAACCCTGCGCAAACATCCGACGAAGACGGTGTGTAGGTCACTCCACAGGAGCAAGCCCAGGTATAGGAGACAGCACAACCAGGGATGCACGGAGGCCAGTGAAAGCGAAATGCGTAGACACTGAGGCATCTCTGTGTTGTACTGGGTTCAAGCTGCAGACGTGCCCAGATTAGTCACATCTTGCTATAGCCCTGCAGGTCTCACCCAGCCTGTTTTAAGAAGTATTTTATTTATTTTACTAACTCCCCAAAATTCATTTCTATCAGCCAAGCCATATCATATGCAGTCCCACATCTGTGAAGCTGTGGGAAGCCGGCCTGTTGGATAAATCCTTGGATTACTTAAAGTATTCCAGCAGTGAATTTAAAATATATGCATGAATCCTCAGTTGTTTGCATCCTGACCCCTCCCGGTGCCTGAATTATCTTCTTTCCCCCAGACCTAGCCATGCTCCTGAGCAATATTACATATTACACGTTGCTTAATGAAAATCTCACAGCCTAATCTGTCCATTACCTATTTTTATTGCCTTTCTGTTATTTTTTTTAATTGATATGCTTCTTTATTATTTATTTTTAGCCGATCAGAAACTGAGCTGTGGGTAATTTAAAACATGCTGTCTGCTCTGCATTGATAACTTTCGTAGTCTTCTAAACTGCCCAGAAGTCAATGCTACTCTGTGCTTTGAAATACAAGCCTTTCCATAGAGATATATTAGCACTTAAAAGTCTTCCAGTCAAACTCCATCCTGAATTCCACTGAGGATGTTCAAAATCCAGTGAAGCGGCTTGCAGGACCATAAACCTGCTTCCAGATCCTCACACTGTCGGTGCAGGAACACTGAATATTCACTGGTGGAGCAAGGATTAGGATCTGGACTGTACTGTCTGGTGACTGCCAAGCTGGTGTGAATATAAATCCAGGTAAACTATGAACCCATCAGAAGGAGCGTCTCTGTTGTCACTGAGGGAATGCTTTGCACATGCAGACAAACCTGGACGATTCCAGCAGCTACTGAAATTCAGCTAATTTAATGCCAGTTCAGACTCGAAGTTTTTTGCTTTGGTCTTCATCTAAACCTCTCTGGGATGCACTGCTATTTTTGAAGTGCTCCGACTGCTATATCACTAATTCATCACCATCACAGCTCTCCCCCCTACTCCGTTCTCTTATTTAGAGGCAGTATCAAGTTTGGGATCTGCTTTTTCATGGGAACAATTATAGAGCAGTGAAACAGCATTTAAAGCAATGCATCAATTTGCCAAGCTTTAATTGTATGCAGCTTTTAAATTACCCCTCCTAATTCAAAATTTAACACATTTGCACTTTTGCATAAAGTGCTGCCCCAATTCATCAAAATTAAACTGTTTATTATACTGTGAATTGCTTACTTCAGGGTAGTAATCAGTGGTAGGTATCAGATGCTGGATTAGAGCATCCAGAGATGCTGAGGTAAGGTTTCCATCCTGGAAGATCAGTCCTCCTTGTTCATCTTCTTTTGACGTATGTAGATGAGGGCTGAAGCCACATGGGGTAAACATACTGGTAGAACTCAGCGTTTGGGGCATGCCTTCCTGCAACAGAGAGAAACTCCTGTCAGGGACAAGATCCATCACATTTACAACCACATCTGTCTTCTGGTTGATTTGAAAAACACTAATGAGAGCTTCCTGTTCACAAAATTAACATGATCCTTGATTATAACCTCTTTTATCATTGTCATTGGCAGAGCATGCCTACAATGGGAAATACACAGGGAAATGGGACATTTTGATTTATGCTTTTGGGCCAGAAGGTGATGACAGCTACTTTGGGCTCCCACTCCAATCAAGATTGTCTGTGACGATTCCCTTTTGCTGCCAGCCCTGGTCAGTCCTACATAGGAGAGGCAAGACACTTGGGACTTGAATTCAGCAGGTTCCTGAGCAGAACAGAGCTGTTCATTTGAACCCCTGTCTCCCTGAGAATAAGGCAGGGAGAATTTAGGGTGAGAGAGGAAGAGAAAAGGGGTGCCACCTAAGGCTGGCTCAGGATGGACCTTGTGAAATGCTCTGTGGCTCCCATGGGACAGGAGAGGCGTCAGAGTAAGCAAGGGGGTAGAAGCAGGAGCAGAAGTCAACTGGAGGAGGATGGAAAAAAGAAGGGAGTTGGAGGGAACAGAGAACATGGGAGCTGAAGAAGAGATTAAAGAGCAAGGAAAAATGAGGAAGAGGGAGAAGGCAGACACCTGCACTATTTTTGGAGCCTGAAGTTAGTCAGTCCTAGGTCTATACTTAGGCACTAAATAAATGTTTCAAAAAGATCCTCAGCAGTCATCGACTTCACTAGGGATGCAGAGTCCTCAGCACCTTTGAAAAGGAGGCCAGGCAAACTCAGAGTGCGTAGACCAGTTTCAAGCTCCCTGTATTTCAGTTCTCTGGGCTCTCTGGGTTGCATTCTAGGCTCCATCTCGATTTTGTGGCTTATGATCAGCTTTAAATGTTTCTTCTGCCAAGACAAATTGTTTTGTTCCTGAATTGGTGCAGGGGGATGACAGATTTTGCCCTGAGAGCTTTAAAGCATCTCCAGCTGCCTCTGAAATCCCCCCCTAGAAGCTGCTCCGCTTTCAATTAGAGGCAGCATTATAGGACTGGAAAAAGGACAGTGCATGCTCGCTCCCCGGTCAGCAAATGCATCATCCAGAGCAAGGGACCCCTCTGTGACCTGACTATTTGTTTCTAAATTTGACTTGGTGCAAGGGAGGATGGGAAAAAGATGACTGAAGGGAAGGGTCCTAGAGCCAACCTCTACTCCCCTGGAGCAGCTATAAAACTTCTCCCAGCACTCCAGCTCTCCCTCCTGAGCATAGCCTCTGTCTGCTGGAAGAGCAAGATCTGCACCCCACGGCCTGCTGAGCCGGCACCGACCTCCCACGTAGGAAGGCACAGGGCCACACGCTGACATCGCCTGCCCACCTCAGCCTGCTGGTGCTCAGGCACAAGCACTCAGCAGATATGCCTTATTTTTTAAGCTATTTCTCTGCCCTTTTCTGTATCGTGTTCCGTTTGCTTTTCTGCCTCTTCCCCATCCCATACAACTTCAAAAACTGCCCCGTGGATTTGGCTTAAAAACTTGAGTTCGCGTTTCTCCCCCACGTACACCGACAGATGTGCCGTGACCCAGCCAGCCAGCTCCGCGGTAGTTACACGTACCCGACGTTGTATTTACTCCTGCAAAAGCACCTTCCTGCCTGGCACAACCCATCTGCTCCATCAAGCTCAGGCTGCTACTACTTGCCAACTCAGAGCAACCCTGGGCCGCCGAGGATGAGAAGGGCAGCGTGCCTGTAAGCCAGGCAGGGTGTGAAGCCTTGGGAGAGGCTGGGAGCTGGGTCCCAGCACCGTGGGAGATCAGGCTTTACAAGCAAAACTTGGGTGACGTCATCCTTCAAAGGAGCGACCGTTCCCCAGGAGCCAGCGGTTCGGTTACTGCATCTTATCTCCTGGGAGGCTCACACGGGCTGGGAGCACAGGCTGCCTCTGGGATTTGCAATCAAACCAAAAAGAACCGAAATGTCAAACCCAACAAATTCCTGCCTTGATAGAAAAATAAAATAGATGTCAGGGATTTTAGTTTAATTTAAAGACCAGAATATCTGAATGTCATCCCAGCCAGAATGCAAGTTGAAGTATCTAGTTTTAATGAATGTGCAGATGCGCCTGTTAATAGGGCTCCGAGAGCAAGTAATTGCTGCTTTATGTACACAGCTCAGAGTCTGTGTAGTAAATGGGAAAGACTGCCAAACCCCATTTGTTACTTCTAACACGCTCTATGTTACGTCTTGTTTCTATGGCAATAATCCCAAGAAGGATTGCATGTCCATATAGATCAAGAAATAAATCTCATGGACATATAGCTGTCTAGATGAGGAAAAGAAAAAGTTAAAACAGCTGTGAACTTGCCGGACACATCCTGGCTTCAGCGTAAAAGAGAACTCAAAGTAATAATGTATTCAGTGCAATCCCTTGCTGTCAATGCCATTTTTATTATCAAATAGAAATGTATCTAAACAGGATATTGCCTGAACTTTTGCATTTCATTACATGAGAAATCTTGCTGAAATACACAGTAATGCTTCTTAAGAGAAAGTTACCTTTTTTTTTAAAAAAAACTGAATAAAACCAGCTGTACAACTGTCACTGAGACATCTATCTTGGGGATTGTTAAATTAATTTTGACTTTTTATTATGAAGTTCCTTGTCTAATCTCAAGTTTTCAGGCAAGGCCTGTGTCGTATCTGAGCTGCTGCCTGGTTGCCACCTTATTTGCCACCGAAGACCTAAAGGTTTTAACTTCCTGTCTTTTCGCTCCCTGTTAACTGATAGTTACGTTCACAGCAGGATGAAGGCCAACTGTACAGAGACTAAAAACCTCCTGTGCTACTAAGCTTGATAATAACTAACATTAGCATTTGGCAGACAGGAATTCAGGACAGGGACTTCTCTGCTTGCAGCACCTAATTTCTTTTTCTGTTCATGCAGTTTCCGACGTACTCTTTTCAAAAGTACTAAACAGAAACAAGGTCTTGCTTTGAAAGAGCCTAAATACGTGATTGCCTGCAGCAGGCAGAAGACAAGGTTATGCTGTCAATCACTGGCAGAATACAGAACCAACCAGGGCAGCACTGAGGAAGGAAAACAAACAAGCAAACAACCTCTAGGAGATTTGTCTTATTGTACTGAGGGTGCTTTAGATGATGGAAAAGGCAGGCAGTGTAGACAGAGCCAGACTCTTCTCAGAAGAGCACAGTGACAGGATGAGAGGCAACACCCCTAGGCTGCAGAAGGAAAATTCCAGTTGAACGTAAGAGAAAATCCTCCCTGAGCAGCATGTGAAATTGGAAAAGGGACCTGGAAAGGATGTCCAATTTCCATCCTGGGAGACTTTTAAAATTGAACTAGACGAGGCCCTGAGCAAACTTTGAAGTTAGCCCTGCTTCAAGTGGGAGCTTGGACTAATGACCACGAGAGGTCCCTCCTGATGAACTTTGTGATTCTAACACACATCTTTCCCAAACTGTTGCAGTACTTCCCCATTTCTGGGCTTTTTAATATAAACCATGCCAAGTAAAAATTGAGTCCAGATCATTAGATATTTGTAGAGAAATCCATGTTGGCCGTAAAAACTTTTTTCAACTTTTCCTGGAAACAATAGCTCAAATATGGTAAAAACGGCGCAAAATCTCACTTGGAAACCACTTGGACTTAACCTGAACTCCATGAGATATAAGCATGCAAAAATTCTGCAGGTAAGTACTTCCCTGAACTTTAGCCCAATTCAACACGCACTGTTTTGCTGTTCCTCTCATTTCAGAAGGAAATCAGAAGCTGCTTTCAAGCAAAATCTGCAGAATGGTACAGAGATCTCAAAATCGTCTGACTTCCTCCACATGCCATAAAGCTGAGCAGCTGGTAGAGGAGAAAGACCCAAATCAGTGACCTTCTGGGCAGAGAGCAGCAATGCTCAAGAGGACTTGTATGGAGGTGAGAGGCCTTACAAATACATCCGCTGAAGGAACAACATCCACCAACCTTGCAAAGTACAGAGAAATCTAATCGTGAAAAAAAAATAATAATCCAAACCCCCAATTTTCTCTAGTTCTGCTGCTCTGATGCATACTTACTAAGCCCTAGAAATTTCCAGCAGTAAATGTACTGGAGGGCTGGTGCCCTGACTTTGGAAAGAGATACTGCTATACTTTGGTCTTAAAATCAGACTTCATGCTTGTGGGTTCACAAGGAGCAGAGACGCTTTGCTGACAGCACACAGGCTCTGGTGGCAGTGACAAGGGTAAAATACGTGTGCCTTGAAGGACCACTTTAATAAACGGTGCTCCGCAGGGAGTGCTGCTGGTGAGGGGATCTTAGCGAAGGGCAGACTTCCACACCCCGCCGTGCAAAATGACTGGTAATACAGGTGGCTGCGCACGTACAGCATTTAAACGATCTCTGTGCTCTAAAGGACTGAGATCTGGGGATGTGAAAATATCTCTGCACAGGTTAAAAAAAGAAAAATCAAGGGCAGGCTGTTTCTGGGGCTGGTCTCCATTACACAGGACCTCCCATGTGGAGGAAGGCAGGGCATGTGGCTCCTTCCTTGACTACAGAAAACCAAGGTTATAAAATGGAAAAAAAAAAGCAGATTGGACTCAGCACTAACATCTGCACAAAACGCTACGGAGCTGGTACGGTGCCTTTTGCCTTCATTTTACCAAACTCATGCCTACCAGCAGTGGCACAGTGCAATCAATGATCCCAGCTCTGCGCAGGAGGTGTTGAGCAAGAAGACACAAGAAAGGTCCCTTGTCACTTGTTGAGGCACTTTGCAGTAAGGTGTCCTCATGGCCCTCTGTCCCCAAGAATGGGGAGAGTGGTGTCACAGCAGATCATAGTGGGCTCCTCAACGTTCTCCCAGATCTTGGGGTTGTGCGTTCAGCCAAGGATTCTCTGATTGGGAAATGCAACAGCTCAAGCAACATTTGGTTCAACTGTGGCTCTTTTTTGGATGATAAAGTCAGGTTTGCTGAAAG